TGGACTATCAGCCTTTTTATTGATTTGTTAGAACTATTTGCATTCCGAGGAATTTAAAGCTGTTTATGTATTTAGGAGATTAGTGTTTTTCTATGACAAGGGCTAACTTTTTGCATTTTTATATTTGTCCTTTGATTTTTTATTTTTTAAAGATAAGTTTTATTATTTATTTTGTGTGTGTGCATTTGGTGTATGTGTATGTTCTTATGTGTTTGTGAGCCTTTGGGGCCTGGAAAAGAGTATTGGATCCCTTGGTGTATTGGTGAGCGGCCTGATCCAAGTTGAATTGCTGGATTGTGCATGTACAGTTCAGTCTGGGTTCTGGGATCCAAATCCAGTTCTCTGATGGAGCGGTGGGTGTTCTGAAACCCTGCGCCATGTCTCCAATCCTCTGGACTTGAACACACGCATATCCATGGTGTGTGTGATATACGTAGGCAGGGTCTCCTGGGGCTCAGACTGTCTCATCCCAGCCGATGCGCTGAGGATGACTTCGGCGCCTGGTCTCCCTGTGTTTACTGCCATTAGAACTGTGCAGTGCTGGACAGGAACCAGGCATTTGTGTAGCTGGGCCAGCGCCCTGCCAGCTGAGCTTCATCCCCAGCCTTTATCTTGTTTTAGAAGACATACTTACTTCTGTTAAATCTTGTACATTTATTAGTTTTGTTATAAATCAGTGATAAGCATTCTGTTTAGATGACTGAAAAAGTTTGGCTATGAAGAAGTGTTTTGGGTTTTTATTTGTGGTGTTTGCGTTATTGCAACTGAACTTTGCTTTTCGGTTCTCTTCTGCAGTGACAGTGAAGTGCAGCAACTGCTTTACAGCAGGTGCTTAGCGAGCGATCTTGATAACTGAGGTGCATGTAGGACAGTTTGAAGTGAGGCGATTGGTGGTGACTACAGAGGTGTGTGTCAGGGCTCGGTAGGTTGCTGGGAAGCAGGGTCGAAGGTTACTGTCTCAGTGTGGTGGTGCCTTCCTGTGAGCAGCATTTGGAAAGGTCCCACTGAGTTCTGTCTTCATCAGGATCTTGCCCCCTTTCTCTCTAGGCAGCTCTCTACTATTTCCTTGATGCTCTGAGTTCTTCAGGTGCTCAAGTGGCTCCCAACCATGGCAGTGCAGTAGAAGCTTTTGGGGTACAGGCTGGGGCTTACTTGGTTTAAGATGAGACCCCAGCCACGGCATTTAGAACACTGGCTGGCAGTCTTGTGCGCAGCTAGGGTGGAGAATTAGTGCCAGTGCAGTCAGCTTGCAGTCCGCTTGCATGAGGCTTTTACTGTGTACTACCCCAGTGCGTCCAGGTATGTACAGCACTCACCTGGGGATCCTCTTGGTGCGTGTTCAGGGGCCTGAGGTTGAGCTGCAGGCTTTGCATGTCTACAGTGTGGGTGATGGTGATGCACTGGTCTCCAGAGCCCCTTCTGGGGGGCTTGAGCACATCCGTCAGAGTGTAAACACTGGCCTGTGTCTCACAAAGTGTTGCTCTCTGGCACATTTTGTTCTGTATACTTAAAACAAGAAAAAGCTCAAGTCCAGTGACCTCCTTTCCAGTTTCAGCTCTGCCCCTAATCAGATGGGAAACAAGTTTCTTGAAAGTGCTTCATCCGTTTAGCCCCTTATCTCTAAAAGAAAGGGTTGAAGGAGTGAGATATATTCTTTTTCCTCTCAGGATGAGCTGGCATTTTTTGTTTTTTTCAGGCTACCTGGATGGGGATTTTATGTGGAATGGTGATTCTGCCTTTAGGGTACTGGCTTCCCTAGGAACTGGTTCTGAGTTTATCATAATTGAACTGGTTCTGAGTTTATTATAATTTTCTGGGAGAAATAAAGCTACAGATGTTTAATACTAGTTGACGTAATAGTTCAAATGAAAGTCCAAACCATGGTAAATATAAGAAGTGGGAAAGAGTGTTGATTAGAGCAGAGCACGGCACTGCAAAGGGGAGATCTGAGTTAGACATAGTCTGCTGGTCTAGGTAGGCTGAGGAGCATTAGGGCGAGAGTTCCCGGGCTTTTACATTGCCTGTCTTTACAAAGGCATTCTCCAGTAGTTGTTGGCATGACTCTCAGGCTCTGAGTAATTGCATGATGCGTGCTGGATAACTACTGTTTGGACTTAGTACAGAAAAAAGAACTCCTTTTCCTAAGGAGTTAGAAGAAAATTGGCTAATGTTTCAAAAGCAGAGTGGATGTTTGAAAAACTTAAGTAGTAATGATGACATACTCATTGCATATATCTACTTTTTGAGCAATTTTTTTCGTGGTGCAGGACATCAAACTAGGGTTTGTATATGCTAGGTAAGAGGCGTGCCGCTTTGCTAGTCTACCTGAACTTATGTGGACCAAATAGGATAATTTTGATGGTATAGGTTTGATGATTTATAGATGGACTTTAAAACAACGATTCTAAAGAAACTAAGCAAAAGAGAGGACCCTAACTAAAACATCAATCCCCATCCTGAAAGGCAAAGAGGATGGACATCAGAAGAAGAAGAAAACAGGAAACAACCTAGGAACCTTCTACAGAGGGCTTCTGAAAGCCAGAAGAAGAAAACAGGAAACAAACTAGGAACCTACCACAGAGGGCCTCCGAAAGCCTCTGCCCTGCAGACTATCAAAGCAGATGCTGAGCCTGATGGCCAACTGTTGGGCAGAGTGAATGGAATTTTATGTAAGAAGTGGGAAATAGTAACAGCTGGAGAGGACAGGGTGTCCACAAGGAGAGCAACAGAACAAGAAAATTTGAACACAGGGAACTTCCCAGAGACTCATATTCCAACCAAGGACTATTCGTGGAGATAACCTAGAACCCCTGCACAGGTGTAGCCCATGGCAGTTCAGTGTCCAAGTGGGTTACATAGTAATGGGAAGAGGGACTGCCTCTGACATAATCTAATTGGCCTGCTCTTTGATCACCTCCCCCTGAGGTGGGAGCAGCCTTACCAGGCCACATTAGAGGACAATGCAGCCACTTTTGATGAGAACTGATAGACTAAGATCAGAAAGGAGAGGAGAACCTCCCCTATCAGTGGACTTGGGGAGTGGCATGCATGCAGAAAGGGGAGGGAGGGTGGGATCAGGAGGGGAGGAGGGAGGAGCTTATGGGGGGATACAAAATGAATAAAGTGTAATTAATAAAAAATTAAAAAAATAAAAAAATAAGATGTAAAAAAAAACAACGATTCTGACAATTATTCTAATGTTTAATATTAATGAAATAACTCTAAGTAATAATTTTAGATATTTGGTAGTTTACTTTCCAGTCAGGAATGATATTCAGCATACCAATAACCTATGACAGTGGTAGTAACCAACCAGAATAAATTAGATCCAGCCATTCAGAACTGAATCATAAGTAGCAAGCTTCCAAGTAAGGGCTGGCAGGCTGTCAGCCCAGCGTACTGCAAGACATGTTTAAGGTGCCATCAAATCTATCTTTCTATACATTTTTAAAAACTTTAAATTTATTTTGGAGTGCTAGGGATCACACCTAGAGCCTGTGTGCTAGACAAATAGTTTACCACTGAGCTATACCTTTGCTTCTTAATTCCCTTTAGAATTATGGTGATTGTATTTTTACCCTAGAGGTGTCACAGTCAAGTATCCCAGCAGAGGTGAATAGATGGAATAGGAAGAGAACTATGCCCTCTCTCCCTGTACTGGAGGGTAGAGGCCTGACACCATGGTGTTGGGTCACTCCTCTTCAGGCTCACAGAGAGAACCTATCACCTCTCTGGTTCTGTGGCTAACAGTTCTGACGTTCTTTGCCTTGTAGCTGCACCACTCATCTCTCCATTTTTGTGTGGCTTTTTTAGAACTTCATGTGTCTGTTTCTGTCTCCAAATGTCCCTCTTTTTCGTAAAAGGAACAAGCAACCTCTTCTTCCTTAATTATTATTTGGATTCCATTAAGGTGTGAATGCTGGGTGAGAGTGTGGTGGAGAACTGAGATTTCTTGGCATGTAATCATATCTATGCATGGAGAGATACTATATTTTTTCATATAAGTTTCTGGAATTCAAGCAAGTTTTGCCTTAAAACAGAACTTGTTATAGTTCGATGAACAGTATACGTGGCTGTGCTGAAGAGCAAGTACAAGAAGGCAGGAAGGAGGACAACTAGTGAGGCTGGAGAGATGGCTCGGTGGTTAGGAGCTGCTCAGCCGTGAGGACTGGGCCTTGGATCCTAGCCTTCACCAGGCAGCTCGCAACATGAGTAACTCTAGCTCCAAGGAAGCATGTTCTTGGGCCGCGTGACCACTCACGTGCACCTGCTTGTGCACCCACAGACATGCGGGCCCCAGACATGCAGGCCCCAGACATGCAGACAGACGTAAAACACTTTCAAAAGGAGAAACAAAGCAGAGGGAGGCTAAGAACTCTCTCTTGTACACATGTGAAAATGGTGTGGTTGTTTTCCACTTTGCGGAAAAGGCCTTTGACTCTGGAAGACAGAACTAGATAGAACCACTGAGCTAAGGGGCACAGTGGAATGTAAGACAAAACATCCTCAGGTTATGGTGCTCAGAATGTCTGGGTTCCTCAGAGAGCTCAGGCAGGCATTGGGTACAGTTATCTCTGTGTGACATCTCTCTCACTGAAGAGACAATACAGGCCCTGCTCCCTTCCAGCCTTGCTGTGAACCCTAAAATCTCCCCTGTGAGATCATTTTCACGACCCTGTACTCCTTTCTGTGAGGTTAAGTGCTCTGCGTGTTCACCATCCTGAAGTTTGGCTGTCTGACCTCGTCGTTGTGGGCCAGTAGAGGGAGAGGAATGGAAGAGATTAATTTAGAACATTAAGAAGCTAGGGAAGTAAGATTTATATTTACCAAGTGATACATTGTGCATACTGGGTTAGTCTTTTTATCCATATTATCTGCTCTCATTTACTGTGCCTCAGTTCTTTGCATGGCTTAGAACTTAAGTGAAATGCTAGTTCTTTAAGTGATGAGTTCTTGAATTAATTGGCATTTTAAATGTATTCTTTCCTGGTGGAACACAGGAATGTTCTGATGGCTACATGTGCAAAACACAGTTTCAAATAAGAACTGGGACTACGCTGCCACATCTGGGAACACCTGCCAGTGTACACTCGTGTCTTCCTGCAGAGGTGAGTAGTTTAGTGTGCAGTGGTTTCCTTTTCAGTCTTCATGAAGTGTATAAATTAAAAACTTTGTCTATTTTATGCATGTGTATATTTTAAAAACTTAGTTGGTGCTGGCTCCTGGGACCGTGTGGTAGGTATGTGAGCTTCATTTCTGAGGGTCACTTTCTTTGCAACAATGAAAACAGGAACTGAGCTGTCCCGGGTGAGTCCTTCCTGTTCTTGGGATCCTTCACACCACTTCTTGGATCTGAAGGCACACGGTACCTTGCGTTGCCTTGCCTTTTATGTGGTGCTAGCTCGCCTGCACAGACCCATCTGTATGCCCAGTCTGCATTCACTCTTGTTCTAGCCATTTGGAAATTTGTAGAATCTGGGTCTCATTCTTTAGGATACTTTAACTTGAGAAATTTACAAAATTAAATGTTACTAAAGTGCTGTGTTCTTAGTGCTTTCTGGACTATTTTTATTTTATCAAAATGCAAATAGATTTAATATATTTCTTATTCTTAAGGAAAGTTGTGGAAATCCATTCTGAAAAATGAACAGTAGGGAAATATATAAATGTAGACGAATTCCCCATGCACCTGTAGGTAGGTAACCACTATTAATATTTTGGGAAATACTATCTACTTTCCTTAGGTTTCTCCTGTACATGTGTTTGGTACCAAGGAAGAATATCATGGGCACCCTTGTATTTCAGTAAATGCAGAATCCATGGTTCCCTTCAATGGCTCTATGCCATTCCATTTGTGGAACTGTAACATGGAAGATGGATCAGAGGGGTAAATTGCTTCAGCACAAAGGAAGAAATAACAAACGCTTAGTAAAAAGAGAGGAAATGCTTTTTGTACATTTGTCATCGTGTGCACATCCCTTCCTGTTCATGTGTACAAGTTCCTGTCTGTGTGTGTGTGCATGTTCCTGTCTTTCTGTCTGCGTGTAAACATTCCTGTGTGTGTGTGTGTGTGTGTGTGTGTGTGAGCATGTGTATGCTCCTATCTGTCTCTGTGTGTGTACAAGTTCCTGTCTGTGTGTGTACATATGCATGCTCCTGTCTGTGTGTACATGTTCCTGTCTGTCTGTGTGAACATGTTCCTGTCTGTCTGTGTGAACATGTTCCTGTCTGTCTGTGTGTGCATGTTTCTATCTGTATGCACATTACTGTCTGTGTGTGCATGTGTCTGTAGTGTGTGTAGGTGTGCATTGGTGTCAGGTCTTTTTTCCCTGTTTTGCTCATCCAGGGTCTCTCACAGCTTGCCGAATGATCCAGGCTCTCCTCTCTTCTCATCCCAGGTGCATGCTAGCACACTCAGCGCTGGCTTCCAGGGCTCACTCTGACCTCAGGTTTGCGTGGCAGTCTCCTTCCTCACCGAGCTGTCTCCTAGGGATGCCCTGTGTGAGTGCAGGAAGAGGTTGGCCTCCGGTAGGCTAGGTCAGGTCAGTTTGGTAATCAGCCTACCTGCCCTCTTCCACCTGTGTATGCAGCTGCTCTGGGAGTTACTTGCTCCAATAGCATTTGAACACAAGTCATTCTTAGGGATTTTGTGCTTAGCAGTGCTACGTGCTGCATGGAGGGTGCTTGAATCTTGGTTACTGCTCCACGCCTGTATAGCCAACACCAAATCCGAAGTCAGACATGTTAGGCAACTTTTTAATTCATTTTATGTTAGCTTAGAAAGTTAGCAGAGGTGACTAAAAGCCACCTTCTGACTTTTTGTCTAACAAGGTGGCAGAGGCTTTAGAAGCCTCCACGGTGCTGTGCCTGAGGACTGGCTAGTGCTGTGACGTGACAGTGCTGGCAGCTGCACGCATGGTATGCGCCACCTTTGCCGGGTGGAGAAGTCTCGCCTGCCTCAGTTTCTCCACCAGTCTTCATCCCCCCAGTGCACTGCAACACCTAGGAAAGCTGGAGGAGCTTTCCATGGGTAGCCCTGTCCTTGTACTGCGCCCTGTGATCGGCGCTTTGCTGCACTTGCTTCGTCATGTTTCCATCCCCTTCCCTTGTTTAGCTAACATACTGGTTTTACATCAGAGTCAACTTCACAGTGGTGCTCACAGGATAACCAGAAACATGCAAAATTTTATCAGGATAAGTGGATCACACTGGTGACAATAGTACAGGAATGGACAGTTGTTATAGCCTAAGTGACTTAATCCAAGGACATTTACTGCCCCTTCAGTTAACTGCTGACCATTTTGACCGTACATATTATTATTTTTATCTCTTCAAAGAGTGAAACCCATACTAATTATCATTTTGAAGTACTGGGTGTTGTTATTTGCTTATTTGGTCTAGCAGTTCCATTTGGAGTCACCGTCTGTATGTGGAAGCTTTCTTTCTTGTGGCTGTCCCGTTTTTCAATTCCCAAATAAGGGAGGATGCTTTTAAAGTTGCCTGAGACATACAGTACTGTGAGTTACTGCATGTCCTGATTTCTCTGCCAGTCTTCAGCTGGAAGGGTAATTGAAGATTCTAAGCTAGGTGTGGCAGTGTACGCCTGTAATTTCAGAGAAGGAGGCAGAAGAATCCGGAGTTTGAAGGTTCTCTTCGTTTATATAGCAGGTTTGGAGAACTACATGAGACTTTGTTTTAAACAGATGAGCAAATATAAAACACAGAAACAAAAAGATTATATATACATACATGTGTGTGTATGTAGCATAGATATTATTTTCCTTCTAATCAAGTATTTTCATTTATTTTTTTTTTTTTGGTTTTTCAAGACAGGGTTTCTCTGTGTAGCTTGGCTGTCCTGACTTGCTTTGTAGACCAGGCTGGTCTCGAGCTCACAGATATCTGCCTGCCTCTGGCTCCCCGAGTGCTGGGATTACAGGTGTGTGCCACCGTCCTGGCTAAGTAAGATTTTATTAACTGCAGATTATTTTTAAAAGGTTTTCTTCTATCTCCCTTTTCTCTTCCGGGGTTTCTATAACAGTGTGACTCCTTTATTTTTCTTTCATACACCATGAACATGTATTTATTGTTTTTTATGTCAGACTGCTTGCACAGAATGTAAGCCATCGATGCAGGGTTACCTGATAAATATCTAATGTAGCCAGAATCAGCTTACTCCTGTATGTTGATATAAGATGACTAATCAGATGAGTTACTCTGAATTTATTGGATTTTACTTTGGATAGAAGCTGATAAGCACTTATATAGAAAATGTCGCAAAAGGAAAGGTTTGTGGTGAGGTTTTAGTAGCATATTTTGTGGAGTTGGAGCAGAATATGGTGCTAATAAGCCCACCGATTACCAGTTTTTGTTTGTTATTTATTGTTCTCTCACATATCACATCCTGACTTCAGGCTCCCTCCCTCTGCTCAGCCCATTTTTTTCTCCACTACCTTCTTCTTCCCTGGATCCAGCCCCTCTTCACCCTCAGAAAGTAATAGGCCTTCCAGAGACATCAACCAAATGCTTGATATTGTAGCATATCCAGCTACCATAAGACCAGGCACATGTTCTCACGTGAAGTCTGGACAAGTCAGACAGACTGTCAGAGGCGGCCCCTGCTCTCGCTGTTAGGAGCACCGAGCAACAGAACCAGAACGATATGCAGAGGACCCAGGTCAGAGGCGCCCTGTAAGGCTCCCTGGTCTCTGAGCGCATTGGAGTCCCCGTCAGCTGATGTTCTTGTGGTGTCCCGGATCTCTCTGGCTCCTCCAGTCCTTCCTCCTCCTCCTCTGAAGGACTCCCCGAGCTCCGCCTGATACTGGGCTGTGGGACTCTGTCTCTACTCCCTTCAGATGCTAGATGAAGCCTCTCTGATGACGATTATGTTAGGCTCTGGTCCCAACACAGATGGTGCAGGCGGAAAAACTGTAGGTCAGAGGTTTTGTGGCCTCGCCTGGGTATAGAAGGTGGCGGGTTCAGGCTCTGTGTCCCTATTACTAAGAATCTTCACTAGTGTCAACTTTTTAGATTCCATGGAGTTTCTACTGCACTAGGTTTCTATTTAGCTCCTGAAATGTTCCCAGTTCCAGTCATCTCTCCCTCTGTTCTCTCCTTCTCTACCCCTACCTGACCCTCCTGTTTCCATCTCCACCATTCGTAGTCCACCTTGAAATCTATATTTTATAATATATTTATGTATTTACATATATATTACACCTTGACCATTGCTTACCCTCCCTCCTCTCCTTCCAGTCCTTCCCTATTCCACCTACCCTATTCCCCTCCCACCATCTACTCCTCTGTTTCTCTTCAGAAAAGGGTGCCTCCCATGGATATCAAACAGCCATAGCATGTATCTAATATCCAGTATGTCCTGTATCACTAGAGAAATATTTTAAATTTTTTTACTTAGTTTTTTTTTTTTAATAAATTACATCTTGATTACAGCTTTCCCCTGTCTTCTCTCTTCTCATGCCCCCACCCCACCCCCAACATACTCCTCTATTTTCCTCCAGAGAAGGGCAGGGTTCCTGTGGATATCTGCCGAATATGGCATATCAAGTTGCAATAAGATTAGGAGCCTCCCTTATGTTAAGGCTGGATGAGGCAACCCAGTAGGATGAAAGGGTCCCAAAGGGAGGCAACAGAGTCAGAGACAGCTCAGAAGGCCAAGCTACACACTGTATCACTTCAAGACAGGGTTTCTCTGTGTAGCTTGGGGCCTAGGTCAGTCCCAGGCAGGCTCCTTGGTCGGTGGTTCAGTCTCTGTGAGCCCTGTGGGCCCAAGTTAGTTGATTCTGTGGGTTTTCTTGTGCTGTCCACCCCTCTGGCTCCTATAATCCTTCCTCCCCCCTTCCACAGGATTTCCCAAGCTCCACTTAATGTTTGACTGTGGGTCTCTGCTTCTGTTTCCATCCGTTGCTGAGTGAACTCTTTCTGATATCAGTTGGGTTAGGTACCAGTCTGAGAGTATAGCAGAACATCCCTAGGACACATTTTATTGATTTTTTTTTCCAGTTGTGTTTGATTCTATTTTAGGTCTCTGTGCTATCTGGCCTGGTTTCTGCCCTTCAGCCAGTATCAGTGGTAGGCTCCCTCTCATGGCGTGGGTCTCAAGCTTGGCCAGCCATTGACTGGACACTTCCACAATCTCTGTACTACCTTTAGCCCTGCACATCCGTAGGCGGGACAAATTGAGGTGGAATGTTGTGTGGCTGGGTTGCTGTCCCAATTCCTTCACCGCTGGAAGCATTGCCTGGTTACACAGCACGGCCAGTTCAGGCTCCATGGGGTCACCCTCACAGACCCCTGCAAGTTTCCCTTGCACTAGGTTCCTAGCTTGTTCAGATGATGGTCCCCCTGACTCCACCTTGATTTCAGCTGTCTCTCCTAGTTCTCTCTCTCTCTCTTCCTCCCCCTACTTGATCCCTCCTGTTCTGATCCTCCTGCTCCCTCTAGACTCCTGTCTACCCCCATCCCTTCCACCCTTCGTTATCTATTCTATTTCCACTTCACAGTGAGATTCGTGTGTTTCCCCTTGTGCTCTCCTTGTTACTTAGTTTCTCGGAGTCTGTGGATTGTAGCACGGTCATCCTTTACTGTATGGCTAATGTCCATGTATAAGTGAGTACAGACCACGTTTGTCTTTCTAGGTCTGCGTTACCTCACTCAGGACGATCTTTTCTAGTTCCATCAATTTGCCTGCAAATTTCATGTTGTCATTATTTTAACAACTGAGTAGTATTCCATTATGCACATGTAGCACATTTTCATTATCCATTCTTTAGTTGAGGGACACCTGGGTTGTTTCCAGTTTCTGGCTATTAGAAATAAAGCTGCTATGAACATAGTTGAGCAAAGGTCCTTGAGATATGGTAGAGCATCCTTTGGGTATGTGCCCAGCAGTGTATAGCTGGTTCTTGAGGTAGATTGATTTTCAATTTTCTCAGAAAACACCATATTGATTTCCAAAGTGGCTGTAAAAGTTTGCACTCCCACCAGCAATGGAGGAGTGTTTTTCTTGCTCTATATCCTCACCAGCATGAACTGTCACTTGTGTTTTTGGTCTTAGCCTTCTGAGGGGTGTCTGTCAGATGTGGAGTTGGTGGTTTCCTATTATTTGGGCTGCCATTTTGTCCTGTTGATGGTGTCCTTGGCCTTATAGAAGCTTTTCAATTTCATGAGGTCCCATTTATTAATTGTTGATCTTAGTGCCTATGTATACTATTGCTGTTTTGTCTTCTGTGCCAATGAGTTCAAGGCTATTCCCTACTTTCTTTTCTATCAGATTAAGTGGATATGGTTTTATGTTAGGTGCTTTGATCCACTTGGACTTGAGTTTTGTGCAGGGTGATTGATAAAGGATGTATTTGCATTCTTCTGCATGCAGGCATCCAGTTAGATCAGCACCATTTGTTGAAAATGTTTTCTTTTCTCCATTGTATGGTTTTAGCTTCTTTGTCTAAAATCAGGTTTCCATAAGTGTTAGGTTTTGCTTCTAGGTCTTTGATTTGATTTAATTGATTTTGAATTGTTTTTATGCCAATACCATGTGGTTCTTATTATTGTTTCTCTGAGGTACGGCTTGAGATCAAGATGGTGATACTCCAGATGTTAGTTTATTGTGCAGTACTGTTTTAGCTATCTTGCTTTTTTGTTTTTCCATGTGATCTTGAGTATTGTTCTTTCCAAGTCTCTAAAGGGTTTTGTTGGAGTTTTGATGGATTGCATCAAATCTGTACATTGCTTTTGGTAAGATGACCACGTTTATTATGCTATCCTACAGATGCATGAGCATGGGGGACATCCATGGTGTGATATCTTCTTCAAAGACTTGAAGTTTTTTTCACTTGCTTGGTGAGAGTTGCCCCCAAGATATTTATATTATTTGTGGCTATTGTGAAGGGTGTTATTTCCATGATTTCTTTATCAACCCTTTTGTCATTTATATGTAAGAGGGCTACTGAATTTTTTTGAGTTAATCTTGTATCCCGCCACTTTGCTGAAAGTGTTTATCAGCTGTAGATGTTCCCTGGTAGAATTTTTGTGGTTTCTTATGTATACTATCATATCATCAGTGAATAGTGATACTTTTTCCTTTCCAGTTTGTATCCCCGTGATCTCCTTTAGTTGACTTATTGCTCTAGCTAGAACTATGAGTACTATATTGAAAAGATGGAGAAAGTGAGCAGCTTTGTCTTGTTTCTGAGGTTAGTGGAATTGCTTTAAGATTCTCTCCATTAAATTTGATGTTGGCCTGCTGTAAATAGCCTTTATTATGTTTAGGTATGTGCCTTGTATTTATGATCTCTCAAGACTTTTATCATAAAGTTGGATTTTATAAAAGGCATTTTCAGTATCTAATGAGAAGATAACGTGGTTTTTTTCTTTCAGTTTGTTTATATGGTGGATTATACTGATGGATTTTCATATGTTGAACCATCCCTGAATCTCGAGGATGAAGCCTACTTGATCATGGTGGATGATCTTTTTGATGCATTCTTGGATTTGGTTTGCAAGTATTTTATTTAGTATTTTTATATGAATGTTCATGAAGCAGTTCATCTCTAATTCTCTTTCTTGGTTGACTCTTTGTGTGGTTTGGGTATCATGTTGACTGTGGCCTTACACAATGAATTTGGCAATGTACCTTGTGTTTCTATTTTGTGGACCAGTTTGGGGGGTACTGGAGTGGAGCGTTGACTTACCTGGTCTTCATGAGCTTGTCTGGGGTAAAGGCTTAGTCCAGCGATGTGTGGTGGGATATAGTGATGAGCAGAGGAGGGGTAGTTTGCGTAGTGATGGGTAGGTGTGGGCTTGGAGGGGTTTTACCTGTGGTTCAGGGTTCTGGCCTGGCCTCTGGTGGGGTAGGAGGCTTCCACCAGAGGTGTGCGCTAGGATTGCTAGTGTTTTATGTTAAACTTTTTGGTAACTCATTGTAAAGTAGATCATAACCGCAAACATAGTTAGAAAAAAGCATTTGACTTAAAATTGTAATTTTTTGTTTTTTAGTCATGTCCCAGCAGTGTGACCTTGTATAAACCTCAGTTTTCTCATCTTAACAAAAGTATTTTTTATTTTGTTGGCTAAAATGTGCAAAAGTACTATTTGTTAATACTACCAAAATATTTCCTAGTCATACACTGAGGAGCAGTAAATGAATGGGGAAATAAAAAGGAGATGATGTAACATTCAGTTTTTATGCCGTTTATGCCTTCAAAGGTTGGGGAAACTCCAGGTCTCAGGAGACCATTCCCTCCTGCCACAATTAGCCACCAGTATCTCACAGAATTGTTCGGGAAAACGAAATCTGACTGTAAGCAGAAAGTAGTACGAGGGTATTTAGAGCGTCTCGGGTTGTAAGAACTGTGCATGTTTTAGTGTGCCTGCCTTGGTAAGATCTAGACTGCAGTGCATTCTTCTTTTCTATAACTCTTTTCTTTCTTCATCAAGATTTATGCACAATTTCTGCTTATTCAGTAGTATGGTTATAGGTATGATGATATACAATTTGCTAGTTTTTCATTTTTAGATATCTCAAAATTAATAGTTATCTTATTAGTGTGCTTACATTTGTGATGGAGTAAAAATATTATGACAATTTAAATATATACTTAGGGTAGATTATAATTAGATTGGGAATATATTATCTGTTACAGTGCAGTGGACTGTTCATATTTAACAATTTTAAAATTTCAGTATTTAAGTAAGTTTTTTTAATTTATTTTTTTATTATTAGTTACATTTTATTAACTCTGTATCCCAGCTGTATCCCGCTCCCTCATTCCCTCCCAAACCCTCCCTTCCTCCCGCATCTCCTCCCTGCCCCTTTCCAAGTCCACTGATAGGGGGGACCTCCTCCACTTTCATCTGACCCTGTTTTATCAGGTATCTTCAGACTGGCTGCAAAGCCCTCCTCTGTGGCCTAGCAGGACTGTTCCTCCCTTGGGGGGTAGGGAGGTCAAAGAGCCTGCCATTGAGTTCCACAACAAGGACATTTGCTCAACCATGTTTGTAGCAGCTTTATTTTTAATAGCCAGAACCTAGAAACAACCCAGATGTCCATCAACGGAGGAATGGATACAGAAATTGTGGTATTTTTACACAATGGAATACTACTCAGCAATCAAAAAAGAGGAAATCATGAAATTTGCAGGCAAATAGTGGGATCTAGAAAAGATCATTCTGAGTGAAGTATCCCAGAAGGAGAAAGACAAACATGGTATATACTCGCTTATATAGACCTACAAGATTGATAAACATAATGAAATCTATACACCTAAAGAAGATAAACAAGAAAGAGGACCCGGGGTAAGATGATCAGTCCTCACTTAAGTAAGTTTTATGGTGAGGATTTATTATGCTCATGAAAGAAGAACTTGAGGGGTGTATAATCTTAGTTTGTAAAAATTACCAAATTTAGCTGTAACTATACTTTCAGAATGGGATCTGTCAGTCATGAAAATTCTGATGATTAACGATCTTTAAGCAAGTGTATAAACCACATTTCCAACCATCAGTCATCAGAAGATGCCTACCGTCTTTGAGGAGGGAGAGGTTAGGGTGTGACCTGTGGCACTAGAAAACACTGACCTAAGCAACATATGCTGTTTTAACCTAAAACTGTGACACTCAAGTAACTGCGTTTTCTGCTGTTAGTAGCGAATTGTGTCTGTAGATGGATGAACGGCCATGCCAAAGGAATGTACATAGGTAAGTAGGTGGATTTCAAGTCAGAAGGAAGAGTGTCTGTGGTGCTAGTACTTTTAGATATTTAGCCCCAATCAGTATTTCTATCAGTGTCTTTAATAAATTCCATTTTAACACACGTTTGTGTAAGTATTAATGTCTGTGTACTAAGAGATTAATCCTCTTGAAGAAATACTTGCAGTGAACATTTATTGGTTTTTCTATTATGTGCTAATTTCCTGCATTAGTTCTATATTGTCTTAAAATCTTCAGAAAGACCCTGTGGCAGAAGATAGTGGATTTCAACCTAATGTTAGTTATGTACACAGTGATGTAAACAAGGAACACAGGAGTTAACGTCAGACTGTTGCCACTGCTCTGAGTGATTTGAATATATGACTTCATTTCATCTGTATCTTTATCACCATCATTGTACACATCATGAGATGGAGACACAGTAGTTAAGAACCTTCCCCAGGGACAAAGGCAAGGCCACGATTAACTTTGACTTCTGGATGCATGCTCTTGACTGCTATAAAAGCAATGGACACCAGAGGGGGGCTTGCTGAAAACAAATTATCGTGTAATGGTGTGTTCACACTAATTGTTGAGCCCACACCTCCAATTTTGATTTAGTAGGTCTGATGGGGCCTAAGACTTTGCAGTTCTGGAGGGGCATAGAAGAAGAGGGAGGCAGGGTAGGATTGGGAGGGAGTGGGGGAGGCTACAGCTGGGATACAAAGTGAATAAACTGTACCTAAAAAAAAAAATTAAATTAAATTTAAAAAAAAAAAGATTTTGAAGTTCTGGTAGGGCCCCAGAAGGGGCTGATGTCGCCGGGGCTGGGACCACTCTGTGAGAGCGACCCCGCTTCTCCTCCAGAGTGTGTGGGAGGGCTGGAACTCTTGTGCCCCGACAGTCAGCTCAGATGACAGGTCACAGTCAGGGCTGTGGCAGTCTCGTGGATGAAAGGGGTCTTAGGTTGGGCTTACCAGAAGCAGAACTTAAGACAAGGATTTCTCTTCAGACAATTTATGGTAGATGGGTTCTTAAGAGAAAAGGAGTAGGGGAAGCAGGCAGAGCAAGGAATAACGGCTGTGGAAGAGAAACTAGAGGCAAGCTATCTGATCTCAGCTCTTCATTTCAAACCAGAGCAGAGAGTTAGTCCCACCATATTACTGGTCTGGCCTTTTGTAATCTAATAATCAGTTTCTTAGCCAAATCTTCAAGTAGGTAGCACCAGTTTACCAAGTGATTCTCCAGAGAAGGTTCTGTTGTGAATTATCAGCCACTAGTCACAGCCTGGGAGTAGAGACAAGGGGACCAGTCCTACAGAGGACCTAGAAAGGGCATCAACACGATCACTATTAAGCAGTGACACGAGGCCAACAAAATGGAACCTGAGGGAAATGGTCTGACTGCTACATTTGTGAATGCTTCATCAGAGAAATAGATATTTAAAAAAGAAAACTGCATTTGTACTGAACATATACATACTGTTTTCTTGTTGCCATTCCAATTAACAATTTATGTAAAACTTGTGTTGTATTAGATGTTACAAAAAATACAGAGATGATTTAAAATGTTTGGGAGAATAAGAACAGGCTATGTGTACATTCTACATCATCTTATACAAAGTACTTGAGTGTCAGCAGATTTTGGCATCTATGGGGGCACTTGAAACTGCTCCCCATGTACACCTAGGGAGAGCACCTATGTGTAAGACTTGCCTTTACATGAAAGGGTAGGCTTTCAGAGAGTGTTGGTTTTAATTGTCTACCAGCTCAAGATAATTAAGAGAATGTTAAAGATGTTAGAAAACTAACTAAAAATTTGGATACATTAACCAATGCATAGGTGGCATATATATATAATAGATCTTCTGGAAACTCTTCATATATAGTCAGAACTGTTTTTTACAATCACATGAACATATTACTTGTGATGCTTGTTCTCATGCCTCCTCGGGCTCAGTACATGCAAAAGTAGACATAAGATCCAAACCCATGGTCACATACATGCCCTGTTAAAATCAGTAGATCAAACAAAATGAGTAGACATGAATGTGAGTGGTTTGTAAGGGTGTGAGGGCAGGATGATAATCGTAGGGAGAGCATGAGAGGCAAGAGTGCTCAGTATGCAGTACATACATGTGCCAACTTGTTGAACAAATTTACTTAATCAAAAGAACTTAAAGGAGATTGAAGAATTGAGTTGCCTTCATTACATCAAGCACTTAAAAATTGTTAAAATGTAAAACCAAGCTACCTTTCTTACTAATTCTTTTCTTTGTTTTGGAAAGTATATTTTCATAGAAATATGTTAATAATTATATTTAAATTAAGTAACTATTTTCATTTGGAATTTAATTTTTACTATAGCAAGTACCCATAAATAAAATATTTAACCAATAATTTATCAAATTCCTCAATTGGTTTTTAAAACAGTGTAAATAACTCCTGATACCAAAAGGTTTGAGAACCACTGTTCTAGACCAAGTAAAGTGTTATATTATTAACATGTGAAAAACATTGGTAATAATAGATTGGGAAGTAAATTATACAGTTCATCTGACAGGGAGCATGCTGCAGCTGTGGGTATGCTTGCGAACATTATTATGAAGAGTATTTGGCAGTCTTGGGGATGTGACAGTAGGCCAGAAAGCCAACACAGGTTAATTGTTTTCAGATATCTGAAGGCTTTCATTCGGAAGGGAGAGTCAGTTTACTTTGTTTCTGAGAGTTTCAGAGTCTTAACAGCTCTTCCAGATAAATCTGTGTTTAGCATTACCCTAAGTGAAACTGAAGAATACACGCAAGTTT